ATAGGAACTTTTAATTCTTTTTATTGATCCAGCCCCTCCTCCTGACCTAAAGACACAGGGAGAAGGAGGGGACCAGCAAGAGGAAGGAGGAAATGGAGAACGTGAGTGCTGAACTAGACGGGAGATCAAAATTTTAAACTGGTCCACCATATCCCTGGGGAACCAGCCATCCCCGTGTTGGTAGGCTGATCACATTGGACCCCGTCTATCACAGAGGGGACAACCATTTGCCCTTGCTAGAAAAGACATGCATTCTGAATAGGATCTGCCTTCCTCATGTATCGTTCCAGCCAACGTCACCGAATGCACTTTCATGGAAATCCATACAACAATGCTCCTGATGAAAGGAATAATTTCCCAGCAAACAAATAGCAGCAGCAAGTATGTGTGCATATAATTTTACTAATATTGCATGTACCTGTGACCGAGAAGCAGCTGGCTTAAATGAATGGTGGAACAGCCCACTGGAGATTCTGTTCTCATGCCAAATTGAGGGGAAAAAATGCTTAATAAAAGTATGGGATCTGTCTTACACAATTTGGTCTATGCTATAAATATCATATGTAGCCAGTGATGAAGGACCAGGATGTAGCTCAGTGGCAGAGTGATTGCCCAGGCACATGTGAGGGCTTCAATTTGATCCCCAGCCCCTCCCCCTGGGGAGATCATATATATATATATTACTATATATGAAGGTCTAAAAATAAGAGAAAATTCCTCTTGCTATTACTCCTAATATTAATTTCTGTTCCAACGGCTTCAATCTCCCATGAAAGGTCTTAGTTCCCAAGGGAGAAATAGTATTAGGGGACACAATTATGGCACCATTGAACTGAAATCTGGACACGTTGCACTTGTCAGTTGGTGAAGAAAAAGGTTACTGTCTGTGATGACTCACTCCAGTTATCAACTTGAATTGCTGTTATAGAGGCAGAAAAATGATATCTGGAACCCAGAGGATTCTATATGGTACTTCTTAGTACTCCCATGTTCACTAGTAAACGTTAATGGCAGAAAACAAAATGTTAACAGGAATTTAAGCAACTCCAACCAAATAGGACCACTGAGAATTCAGATCCTTTGGAAATGAAATTTTGAGTCAGTCTACCAGATAAAGAACACTAACCTGCTAAAGTCCCAGCAGAAGGCAAAATAAACATGGAGAGGATAGCAGAAAGAATTTATAATATTAACCACAACCTTGTGTAAAGGAGTAGTCTTAGACTTGATGCAGCAGATTATAGCTCCTCTGTGGCTTTTTTTTTTTTTTTTTGGTACTGGGATTTGAACCTAGGGGTGCTTAACCTCTGGAGACACATCCCAGTCTTTTTCATTTTGAAACAGAGTCTAGCTAAGTTGCTTAGGACCTTGCCAAGATGCTGAGACTGGCTTTGAACTTGCAGTCCTCCTGCCTCCTTCCTATTTGCTGGGATTATAGATATGTGCCAATATACCAGGCTCTACTGTGACTTTCAAAGATAATTCTAACATTCTGTCAGGATAGCCAGCTTCAAGGTGGTAATGATTTACAGTAGGATCACTGTGTCAAGCTGATTATTTCTTTGTTTTTGTGTTGGGGATTGAATCCAGGATCTTCTGTAAACCCGGCAAGTGTTGTACCACTGAGCTATATCCCCAGCCATGATCAAGGTTTTTAAGGACTATATTGTTATTATTTGTTGCTTTTCTTTTTCTTCTTTTTCTCCTTTGAGATGAGATCTCACTTTGTTGCCCAGGCTGGTCTCAAACTCTTGGGTTCAAGCAATCCTCCTGCCTCAGCCTCCCAAGTAGCTGGAACTGCAGGTATGTGCCATCGTTCCTGGCTTTAGGACTACATTGGGATAGAAAGCAGGAGAATTATCCCTGAGGTAGGACTATAAACATCATCTGCTGTCCATCACGGGTAAACACTGTCTGCTTGGAGCCTTTTCCCTGGTAGCCACTAAAAAGATGGCATTTGCAAGATCAAAAGCATCATACCAAGTGTTCTATCATAGTAAAGATGTTCCATCTGGCACAGCAGCTGCAATTAAGGCTACCACTTGGTTAAATTAGGACAGTCTACTGTCATCTGCTGTGACATAATCAGCTTTTGCAAGGGTTATACCAGAGAACTGAACAGAGTACTGTTCTCTACCATTCCATCTGGTGCATGATTACTTCTGATGGACTGTGTTAGCCAAACAATGGGCTCAAACAGTTTGAGAGACTTCTACTTCCACTTGGCCTTTCTAACCATAACAGTTCTCAATAAGCCAGAGAATAAATGTGTGGGTTCTGCTGACAAAAAAAAATACATAATTACAACAGAAGAGTCTTTTTCTGCCTCTGAATATTGCAAAGAGTGGCAACAGCCAGCTTGCTACTGAAGATAAATGGCCAAAAGACAGGCTCCCGGACAGAGAAGAGCCATGGGAAGAAAAGGGATCTGACGTCCTTGATGATTTCATTGAGCTGCTGAATTAACCAAGCCGCGTTCAGTATTCCTGTTAGGTGAGACAGCACCTTTTTTTATTGTTTGAGCTAGCCAAATCAGAATGTCCATCATTCACAGGCAAGAGGGTCCTAGCAGAGGTTATCTGGGAAACGGAGTGTTCTGAATGACATTCAGGGGAGCTCAGAGACAGGAAGACCCCACTTTCGCAGCACACTGGAGCAGCTGGGGAGAGAGCAGCTTTTGCCTTATTTCTAGTCACGTTCGAATGGTTCCTCCTGAGTGAGCCTCCAGTTCCTTCTTCAGGGTCCATGGCCAATGTGTCATATCATATGTCACAGCCAAAGCCACTGTCTCTGCAGGAAGGTCTAAGCCAGACATGGCTCCGCCTGAGCAGTCTGTGAAAATACTCTCCATATGAAAGAGAATGGGTTCTGAAAAACGTTGTCCATGTGGGCTGGCCACTCAATGTCCCCGTGGAGCTCAGTGAGCTGGGTCGGGTGTGTTTGAGTGACCCTGGGTGTGAGAACTGGACAGGCCAGCTACACTGGAAGCTGCAGTTATGGACACGTCTCTCGGCCACTCCCCAACCTATGAAGGTCTGGACAGTCATCTTTCTATCCTCTTGTAGCCCTTAGGAGTGACTCCTCAAGCTACATAAGCAATTCCCAAATTGAAGGCTCTGTGTCCAGAACTCTGGTCTGTGGGACTGTCTCCTGGTGTGAGGACTGTGGGCTGTGAGAAGGGCTATAACACATCAGCGTGGTTGGATGTTAAGCAACCTGGGGGCAGGATGTCTGTCCTCCATGATAAAAAATGGCTGAGTGCACAGTGGGAGGGATGGAGGTTGCTGTTGGGGAGAACTGAGGAAAAACCTAAAACACATATGGTTGTGACCCATTATGGTCACATCAATGTGTCAGGGATGCTCATATTTCTATTAATTTATTCAGGGGATATGTGTGTGGGTTATTACAGGGGCCCTTGTTTAAGGATGTACTGGCTTTAAAACATAGGTATTTATTTATTTGTTTTGCAGTGCTGGGGATTAACCAGGGCCTTGAGTATGCTAATAACACAGGTGTTGAATCTCTCTCTCTCTCTCTCTCTCTCTCTCTCTCTCTCTCTCTCTCTCTCTCATACACACACACACACACACACACACACACACACACACAATAACATTCTCTGACTCCCCAAATCTTTGTCACAGAAGAAGTTTGAGCTTTTGCTTAGAAGCCATACTGTCAACCTAAGATAGGGTTGTCCCCAAAACCTCCACTTCAGAGCTTCCCTGGACTCTGGTTTTAGGAGAATATTCCTGGGCTGCATCCCAGACCTACTAAATGAAGAGGAAAGAAATTCAAAGAAACTCCCTCAGCTGTTTCTGATGTGCACTGAAGTTTGAGTATAACCTGCCTGATGCTCTTCTCCTTCTAAAATGAAAACCTCCCAAGAAGTTTACCCTGGACCCAAGGGGCTGTCAGATGTGGGAACAAGAATCCTAGATGGCCCTGGAAAGCCATCTGGACCTTCCCTCTCCTTGCTGAGGAGGAGACTGAGGCCCAGAGAAAGGGCATGGCTGGATAGAGGCCATACAGTGGAAGGGGTAGCAGAGCTGAAACTTAGATGCATGTGTTCTGAGTTAATATCGTCAAATGAAATTGACTTTCTTCCCATTTATAAGATGCACTCAGGTGACAACCAGTGACAGAAGGAAGGAAGAACAGGAACCATTTCAGGAGGCCTCCTGGAGTACAGGGTACAAGTGTAACTGAGCCATAAGCCCCTCCAGCTGCTCTGGCAAATCTGACACCAGGTCCAGAGCTCCTCTAGGCATGGGTTTTCTCTTCTGTCTCCATATTTTTTTGTTTCATGATACTGTGCATTGTATCTAGGGTCACTCTGCCATTCACTTCCATCCTCAGCCCTTTTTTATTTTGAGACAGGATGCCACTAAGTTGCCCTGGCTGGCCTTGAACTTGAGATCCTCCTGCCTCAGCCTCCCAAGTCACTGGAATTACAGGCGTGCACCATCATTACAGGCGTGCACCATCATGCCCAACTCTATCTCCATTTCTCTGCTTCCTCCTTTCTTCCTCTACTGTGTTTATGTCTCTTTATTTTTGTATCTCTGTCTCAAAATTCACTGAGGAGGACCTTGTTGACTTAGAAACCATCCAATATGGAGCACCAGAAAAGATAGCTCTCTCACCCTGGCCTCCTCAGAAGCCACTGGTCTTCCTTATACCCACCCTATTGAGAGTTGCCTCTGAATAAAGCCCAGATTCCTCACAAAACAGGAATAGGCAGGAAAATAAGGTCACTCTGACATTTATATGCAAGAACCCCTGTGACCTCTTTTCTCAGGAGGAAGTTACGATACGGCAGGCAACTTTCCCTACACCTGAACCAAGCACATAGGATGAGGCAGGGACCTTAGAGTGACAGGTCAGAAAGAGTATGTATGGGAAATCTTCCGTGCTTCTCCTGCTAGTCTGAGGCTGGCCTGGAGTCTTGAAGGCCAAATTTAGCAAATAAATACAGAACACATTAAATAGGTTTTCAGACATGTTTATTATGGCTTGTGCAATATTTGAGACATACTTATTCTGAATTTTTTTTTCATTCCTTATATTAAATCGACATTTGGCTGCTTGACTTCTATTTTAACAGATACCTTGAGCTAGAAGAACAGGGACAAGATCTGTTTTGTTAGAGCTCTAAAAGCCTCATCATGCCTGGTAGACAGCAGGCACTCATTGAATTCTTTCTGAAATATTTATTTGTTGATGAAAGCCTCTGAAAGATCTCAAACACACTCAGGAGACACTTCATTGGGCAAACATGTCCCCAGGGGCCATCTTTGAATAAACAAATTGACTCATTCAATAAAGCCAGACTGGAGCATGCTGCAAATGTTAAGATCTATGCTAAATAAATCGAGATGCAGAGATAAACAAACTATGGCTCTTGTCCTTGACATGGCAATTGACCAGTAAAACCAACAGATTTCAAATCACAATAGAATGTGATAAGTGCTAGACAATCAACCTCATAAGGCCAGGGACCAGATGGTTTTGTTTGTCATTGTCATCTCCAAAACTTGCACATGTCATTCCTCAACAAATAGTACTGGAATGTGACAATAAAAAGATGACAATATGAACAATGCATTGTGGAGCCACCGAGGTGAGATGACTGACCAAGGTGCTTGTCTTCCCTCCAGTGGGTAGGTCTGGTCTCGATCATGATGCAGGAACATACCAAGAAGAAGGAGAGGCGACAGCAATTCTAAAAGAGAAGTAGCATGAACCCAGGTCTAACAGGTCACTGACTGGGGAATAACTCACAGAAGTAAGAGGTGAGATTGGAAGGGCTGAGAAGTCTGGGCTTGATCCCCTGGGTAATGGCTAGTCATTAAAGACTGTCAAGTAGGAAACTGCATGAAATTCAGGAGATCCCCCCAGCATTAGTGTGGACGATGGATTTTGGTGGAGACAGAATGGAGGCCAGAAGAGCGGTGGTGGGGAGTTTTTAGGTGTATCAGGAAAGAAGCCTACAGACCTGAAATCCTGTCCTCATGGACTCACTGTGACTGCCCTTATTTGTCCATGTCCTGCTCCTAAGTCCCCTGAGGTACGGGAGGGAAGATTGCTGGTAAGAGAGGGAATCAGGAAGGAAGGAGAGGGGAGAGGTAGCCCAAGACAAACTTCCTTCGCCTCACCATCTTGCCTAAGGAGAGGACTGTCCTGCAGCAACTGGAGGACAACTGCCAGCTTCTGGGGCTCTCCTCTCCAGGAAAGGAAGTACTCCAATGAACTGGCACAGCCCAGCGCTCACTGTGGTCTACAGGCCTAGGCTGCGCTCCGTGGGACCCCACATGCCCAGCGAGCATGCTCCCTGCTGAGGACAGGACGCTCCGACTCAGGGTTGGCAGCCCTCTCCTGCCAGGAGATGATCCAGAAACAGAGGTTTCAGAGAGATCATGAAAACTTCCAGCTACCTGAGGACAGAGGAGATCTACTAACTCAGTCCCTAGGCCCAGGACCAGAACCCAAGTCCTAGGCCCACCTTCCACCTCCTCTCCAGATCCCTCCTCAGGAAAACCCCCTGCTTCATCTTGCCCACTAGACTCTGGATGTGGAACTAGTCTGACCTGGTTCAAATGCATCCAAATATGTGACTTTATACAAATCACCTCACCTCTGTGAATATGAATTTCTATGCCAGGTGAATAACCTCCTGTCACGAATTAAATATCCCACGGGAACAAACTCTGGACAGTTGCTTGGAATTCCTGTAACAGCTTCTCTCCTGAACTGTTGGGGAGATTTAGTTGCACCCTAGAGGGCAATTTGACCCCTTCTTGATTCAGTCACCCAATTAATATTTTCCAGGCTCCTACTTTGTACCAGCTACTTGAAAAGTACTGGGAAAACAATGCCAGCAAAATGGGTAGAATTCCAGTCTCCATGGAAGATCCATTCTTCTGTGGGAGATGGATATTAATTGAATGATTGCATGAATAAAAGTAAAAAAAAAAAATATACCAGTCATGAGTACCATGAAGGAGGGGAACTCGGACCCAGGAAATTATTCCATAGGCATACACGATGGAGCCTGGGGCTGGCACACCTGTGGCATGGCCTTACTTTCCTGTTAACTGGTTTCCCAGAATCTCCAGTTCCCAAAAATAAACATATTCAGAACAGGGAACTTAGAAGGGGAAACCTGGTTTGCTCCAATCCCAAACCAGTTTCCCCACAGTCCATTCTTACCCCCAAAATAAATAAGGCCCTTCCAGACTGCCTCCTCACTAGAGCCTCCCCCAGGACAAACAGCTCCTGCTCCAGCTCCACCATGAAGCTCTTCACTGTCCTGCTGCTGGCCAGCCTGGCCTCCACCTCTCTGGCCATCCTTCATGGTGAGTATAGCCTCCTTCTCATTCCCTCGGTCCCCTAGAGGTCATTGAGTTGTCATCTGGGAGAATCAGCACAAGGGAGGCCTTTTCTCAATCCTTGTAATGTGCTATGAGAGAGATGGGGAGATGCAGAAGAGAGAGTCCACACTTGGGATGACCAAGGGATGGAGGTAGGGAACCAAGGCATATGGCCTTCGGGATCCTGCAACCCAGAAAGCTTGAGACTGGGGCCAAGGGAGATAAGCTGGGCCTAAATCAGAGTGAATTATGGGTCAACAGAGTTTCAGATTGGATCTCAGCTTCTGGCAATGGTGAACTACCCAAGCAGAGTCACTACCATCCCCT